AATTATGTTTGCCAGAATCATCATTATTAAAACATTAAAAAGTGTTAACTTTTAATATTTTTAATATTTTATATCAATATGTATCAGAACATATATAGTATAAATATCTCGTAAACTACTAGTTTTTTAATATCTATCTTATTACATTTATATGTAAAATTATTGGAGAAATCATATTATGTAAAAAATATAATTTTTATTTAGAAAGTAGAGGAAACTTTCGTATTTTTAGCCGTCTCCATCTAAAAAAAACAACATGATCAAAATATTATACGTTTCCTTCGAAACTGTTTCACTTTTGTTTGAAACATTTTTCCATATCTTCTAAATTTTTCAAGTTATTGATTTGTCTCACTTTACGTGGGCTACTATATTGTTGATATCTATTTATATTATTTATACCTATTTATATTATAATTATATCATTATCTTACGTATATATAAAGTAGATTATAGTTACTTAAGATAGTGCATATATATACTATATAAACGCATAATATATTGTATCTAAATTATTAGAAAATTATACTATATATGAGTCATCGCAATAGCGATAACAAACAATTTTTATCTTAAGTGTATACTTTTTTTGTACGTGCACATGTGTGCAAAGAAATACATAATACGTCTTGAAAATTCAAAAAAAAAAGTAATAGATATTTTTTAAAAGTAAAAACCTTATTTCTGAACAAAAAATAAATATAGAGAATTATTTCTCATTTTTATATATTACAAAATTCTTAAAAATTATAAATGTCTTTGCACATAATTAAATTTTAAAATAACTAATATATATAAAAAATTCTAATATTCTTTTAGTTTTGTCATTAACTTTATTTATTTTTTTAAATTTCTACTTAATTTTAATTATTTTAAACACGTTGCACTTATCTTTATCATCATGGCTAATTATTTGCATTTAATCTATCATTTATTAAAATGGAGAAATTGTTATATAAATTAGAATTTTTTTTAATTTAGACTTTTTATAAGGGCATATGTGAATTTTGTTCTCATATGCGGATAGGATGACTTTCAATAGAAGTATATAATGACGAAAAATCGAATTAAATTAAAAATGTGCTTTTTTAAGAATATAAAGCTTTATTTAATTATAATAAACTTATATTACTTTGATATATTGTGATATTTTAACACAATGAAGGAAAAATATTAATAAAAAAGGATATTTTTTACATAATTTGAAAAAATAAAGTTATCAAAACATCAAAACGAAAAGGCAATTACTTATACAAGCATAATCGAAAATATAATAAAATTAAAAAGAATACACAAAAATAATTACTAATTACACTGTTCAATAAAATTTGAAATTTGTTCTTATAACACAAATGTGAATAGTCATTTTCGACGTATTTTTGCCTGCTGAACGTGAATCCGTTGTAAAAATTTGGCTATTTAAAATTTCGAGAAAATTTTGAGAAAAATGGTATCATAGAAATAAAAACGATGATTTTGAAAATTCTCAATAGCTTTTTACAAATTAACATAATACAAATTAATATAATACAGTATGATAAGAATATTATATAATAATATTCTTGCTATGTTATATTTTGTCAATTTTATCGCTTTCTAATTTAATAAGATCTGCTTATGTTATATAAGTATAAAGCAGCTTATTTCCCACATATAATACAATTAAATTGAAATTAAATGCCTTTCTATCTTTATTATTCTTTAACCTTCTTCTACAATAGTACAAATCAGTAACCAAAAAATAATAGAGCGAAATTATAATGCATTAACTTGTGTTAAACATTATATATATATATATATATAT